TGCTTTGCATGTTTTTCTCAAAACACCCTCCTTTGCTATTACCCTCCACAGCCGAAGGTTTTATACTATTCACACGCTTCTGATTGGTTATTGTGTCCCGTCTACATTTGCAGCGCCACTTCTAATTAACTTGCCAGAGCAGTCTGAGTTTCTATAGCAGGTTACTGTAACTGCAAACAGTCACATTATACTGGTATGATAATGTAGTGCAAGCTGAATCCTTGGGTTCCTTTAAATCAGTGCTAGATAAGATTTTAACAACTCTGAGCTATTAGTTAAGTTCTCCCCAAGCGAGCTCGATGGGCCGAATGGCCTCCTCTCGTTTGTATAGTTCTTATGTTCTTATGTTCTATTTACACTTCTGGATATGAAATCATGAAAATGATTCCTGTTCACCTTATACACTATAGACTTTGCAAACACAGGCTGTTTTGACATGCAAATTCTCAAACGACAGCGAGTGTTTTCTATCACTGGTGGTGATGAATGCGAATACAGGGGACTCTTCAATGTATTTACAGAGTGGTAAAGTGAAATTGCCTCCTGCACAATGCAAAGAAGACCAAGTAGCTGGTGGTGGACTTTTGCAGGGCTGAGCTGCCGTCAGTAAGTCTAGTGAGCATCCAGAGGACAGAGTTTGAGGCTGTCCAATCTATAGATACCTGGATGTTCATCTCAATAACAAGCTGAACTTGATGGACACCACCATTGTCTTGTACCATAAGGGCCAGAGTCGACTCTACCTATTGTGGAGAGTAAGGTCATTCAGCAAACATGGACCACTTCTGAAGTTGTTCTATCTGTTCTTTCATACTGTGCTTTTATGTTATGACTCATTGGCGGCAGCAGCCGTCTTCTATGCAGTTGTATGCTGGGGCAGTAACACTGTAGCACTGGAATGGAAGACTGAACAAACTGATCAGCAGGGCTGGATCCGTGCTGGGGTGCTCTTTTAGCACCTTCGAGATGGCAAGTGAGAGGAGGAGGATGGCCAAATTCCAGGCCATTTGGTCAACTCCTCCCACTCCCTGCATGAGTTTCCATGTTCCCTAGACAGCTCCTTCCTTCATGCTCCACCCATGCTGTTCTACAGAGTGGCTTCGCAGATCTTTTGTCCCTACAACAGCAATCAGCAGTGGACATACACACATGTATACAGCTGAACTGTAGAGCTTGCCCCATCCTCCCTACGTTGTTGCAATATTATTATTATTATTTTATTATTATTATTAATAATAGCAATAACAATAACCGTAGTATAGCAATTTACTATTATTATTTTATTATTATTATTATTATTATTTATTAATAGTGAATTGCAATACTACTACTGCTACTTTTTGTTATTGTTATTTGTATGCTATGTGCCACTAGGCGGCACTTTGTGCAATACATTCCAGGGTCTTACTCCTTGGCTGCCATTCGGTAGTTTGCATTATTTATGTCCTTTCATACTGTGCATTCATGTTATGTGTATGGTCTGATTCTGTCTATAACTGCTGGTGTAACACTGCAATTTCCCTGGAATTAGTAAAGTTGATCTTGTCCTTTTTTGTCTCATCTATCGGATATACATGAGATTGGAACTTTTGTTGATTTTCAATTTGGACTGCCTGTTCCGCCTATGTACAACTACAATCGAGTGTTCTGGGTGGTCAGGTGGTCTGGGATGCATTTGACCAAATATCTTTTGTAGTGTAAACGATGATGCATCCTGATGCATCCCCAAAAAAGATGTCATAATAAAATACGGCAAGATCAGATGACTCTTCCCAGATCATGTAATCATGTATATAGGTATCTGGCTATTTGGATTCTTCAAAACCATAGGAGATTTGGATAAGCCAAGCTGCATTAAATGATCCAAGATAATTGCGTGCTCCCTTGGACTCTGACTGGTCTATGGCTGTGTCCGAATTCAGGGGCTGCATCCTTCGAAGGACGTGGTTTATGAAGGTGTAGCCTTTGTAGGCTGCGTCCTTTGAAGATCAAACAGAAAGCTCTGTCAAATGGGTCAGTCTGGTCTACACACAATTTCCTATTTGTGTCACCAGCTGTTCATGCCCTTACCCTTGAGTCACGAAGTGCCACTCCTTTTGCCTAGCCAGGACACACCTACTTTACCTCTGCGCAGTGAATCTTGGGATATGTTGGACTGTGAAGGATCCATCAGATTTCTAGACCACATTTGAAAGAGCCTTTGAAATAGGACAGCCTTGTCACATCACTGTGATACACACAGACTTCGAAAGCAGCCTTCAAAGGATGCAGCCCCTGAATTTGGACACAGCATAGGGCTTCATCCTTCCAATATTATATCACAATCATCATACGCTGTGGCGCTGCTGCGTCTGCATGAAGTATAAACCAGCTTTAAGACAACAAAGTGCTCTTTGGGCACCAGATAAGTGGGCTGAACCTGTACTCAGACCCCAGGCTTAGCTCACAGCATTTTGTGTGTGTTTATCTGAAATGAGTGAGTAACATTCACTTGTAAAGTCACTTGTTTGCCAATATTCCTTGTTGATTTGTGGATGAGGCATTAGTATGTTCTAAGTGAAAGGGCCAATACTCAAAATTTCTTTCATTTGTAAATAATGTTCTTATTGATTGTAGGTATTCCTGTCTTTTGGGAAATGTGAAGATTAGAGTTTGCACCAATCTAGTATAGTACACAATTGCCCGTATTGAAAATTGTGTCCCCGTTTTTAACAGTTGAATTCATCCAGTATTTTTTTTTATTTTAGAAGTTGGTGACAGTGGGAGGAGTAGGGATTTGTTGGGCTGAATGGTTGGTGGGCTGTCTGGGGAATACATTGTCATTCTGATAGCACCCCTTTCCAGTTGACATTTTTTAATGTTGATTTTTAAAAAATAAATAATGTAAAACCTGGGAATAAAGGAACTATTATGTATTGTGTGCCATATATTGTGGTACCAGATATTTATACTTTTAGTAATGCAGATGCTAGAATACTTTGTCAGTATTTAGAGTTGCTTTGATTGCACTTCAGTGTGTGATGCCTGGATTCTGATTGCCTTGCAGTGCCTGCTCGAGCTGCAGAGGGAGGCAGTGTTTTTGTGGACCTCGGAGCTGGAGAATATGACCAACATATGCTTTCGGGCCTTTGAAGGCTCCAACTATGATGTGCGTGAGATAGTGTCCAAGCTGCTGGGAACCATGCTGGCTACGGCACTCATGGCCAAGCAGGGCACAGGTAGGCTGCATCTTTTCAATTTTTCAGTGTGTCACTGGGTGGTGGGAGTAAGAGCAGGAGGTCTGCCAGATTGTCAAGCAAGAAGGTGCCCAAAGCCAGGCTGCTCAGCTTGTTTCACCCTTTATCATACAAGCAACACAATTCACTATAATCACATGTTTCAGCTGAATAATTTCAATGTGCTCTTATGGCTGCTCCAGGATACCTGAAGTAGCAATGCACAGTTTGAGTTCACGGTTTCCATCCATCCATCCATCCATTTTCTCCCGCATATCCGAGGTCGGGTCGCGGGGGCAGCAGTCTCAGCAGGGAAACCCAGACTTCCCTCTCCCCGGCCACTTCATCCAGCTCCTCTGGGGGAATCCCGAGGCGTTCCCAGGCCAGCCGAGAGACATAGTCTCTCCAGCGTGTCCTGGGTCTTCCCCGGGGCCTCCTCAACTCCTCAATATATAT